ATTGAGATGTTTTATTAATGAATGGAGTTTTTATAATAATTGGCTCAAAATAATCATTGACTCTTTGGAAAGAAGAAAGGAACAAATGGAATATCTACTATTGATTTTGCTATTTAGAAATTATTGATCTGGAGCTTTCCTACATTAAACCATTTGAAAAACATTTGTTGAGCAGTTATAGTGACTCTCATCCACAGGAAAGGTTAATTTGAGGCCATTTTGTCTAATAAGACCTCACCTCTCTAGACTGGGTTAGAGAAAGGCAGATGATCCAAACTTGGCCAATGAGTTCTTTTCTGGTGCCTTAAGGTATCTTTGTGTCCTTAGAACAGATTTTCCTTTTCTGCTTAAGCTAGCTTTAGATAGTGTTTGTTACTTTCAAGCCAAGAGTCTATAACCAACAGAACTACCCTAGGGATGACTGTAAAATTCATCTCTAGGGGAAGGCTGCTCTTTTGAAAACAACAGTTTAATGGGTCTTCTGGGTATATGAAAGTAAAGCAAAAATTCATTCTAGAATGAAGAAGCTCAGAACAATTATAAACAACTGTAATGCACAGTGAGGTAAAAGGATGACTACGTCGTGGACCAGGCTAGGTCTTTGCAGGCAGCAGGTTAATGCTTGTTTGCCTTATTGTTTTTGTTTTTGGAGGGTAGTCCTTATTTTTTTTTATTTGAACTGGAGACTAAAAGAGTTAAGACTCTGGGAAAGGCAAGACTGGATAAAGGAGGCTTTCATCCTGTTAAAATGAGTTGGCCTGTGGAAATGGGGGACCGAGTAGAGAATCCCCAATGAAGAGACATGATCAAAGAATTTCAACAGTGAATTATGCTATTTAGTTTTAAGATTTTTCTTGGAAGTTCAGGCTTCCATTGAAAAAAATATTTAAACATGGCAACCTAGTCTTAGCTGTGCTTTGGAAAAATAAAGAAGGTCCTGTATTCAAGCTTAAGGAGAATATATTGCTGAGAATGTATATTGGCACAACTTTAAAAGCTCTTGGTTTTTTGTATACCCTCCAAGCCAGCAATTCTACCCTAAAAATATTCTCACACACATGGTTCCGGAGACTATTCATAGCTATGCACATAATAATGGGGGTTGGGGGGAGACAATCAAAATGTAGGAAAAATGGATATATAAATCATGGTATAGTCATATAATGGAATGTTATATGACAATAAAATACAGCTACATACAACAGGGATAGATTGTAGAAACAAAACTGAAAACTAGCAGCAGTATAATACAGCATGGAAACAATTTTATCTAATTAAAAGACAAGCAAAAATAAGTAGTATATTGTTCAGCACTATATGGTAATCACATAAAAACAAGTTTAAACTTTTAAAAAATCAGGATAGTGATTATTTTGGGGAAGAAGCAAGGAGAAGGGATCTGGGAGGAGCACATAGGAAGCTTCAATAGTACAGGTTAATGTTTCATAAGTTGGGTGGTATATTAATAGGTGTTAATTTTATGTTTTCAATTTACATTAATATATTTTACACATGACAGACTTAAAATGAGAGAAAGAAGTAATTGCCAAATTGCTTGACAGTACAGGGTTCTACTGACAGTGTACGAGATGAACTGTGATTAAAAATTTTTTTCCTTCGGGGGTGGAGGGGAAGAGAGTCCCACTTGAACAGTTGTCTTGAAGCATCTTTGTGAGCTAGGGCACAATTTCCTCTACTTTTGAGACATTGATGACTTCTACTCAGCGTTCCGCAGGAACTCTAAAGCAGCGAGGGAAGAAATAGTGGGACTGTATGGGGACAGCGGAAAGACCGTTACTGATTTTACACTGTTGCAAACCAGAAGTGTGTTTTATATTTAACTAGTTGTTGTAGCTGGTATAATGTATTTTTTATTGTTCTATAGTTTCCAAAGGTAGCTCTTAGAAACTGAGAGGGTCAATCCCTCTTTTCCCTCTGCTCCCCGGCCCCCAAGCCGCGCCACTTGCTGTTCCCTATGCCTGGAAGACCCTTCGTTGCTTTGTTGGTCAGCCTTCTGTACCTTATTCAAAATTTTAAGTTCAAGGGTTAACGCCTCTTGGAAACGGTCTCCTCTTCGATTTCTGACGCCAGCATCACTACAGCTCTGAGGTTAGGGGGTAAGTCACTTGGTCAAGCCTGTTTCCGTGAGGATAAAATATTCTTGGGTGTCTGTGAGGATAGAGCAGTAGGTATAGAGCCCCAGATCCTAGGTCAAGCAGCTTAGTTCGAATCCCCAGCCCGCCCCATCTGAGAGTTTGGGTTAATCACAGGGCCTCAGTTTGTTCAGTTTGACGGAGGGATGCTCTGGCTGCAACGCGTTAATACTCGAGGAACCCAGCCATCGCTAGGAACCTCCCGGGTGTCCGGCCCTTTCTTTGAGATTTTCAGTGCCGGACAGAGCCGGCCTTACGGGTCTCACTTCTCCGGGAGCGTACTAGACACCGTTCTCCGCCTCACACTTCGCTGGGTGGAGAAAGTCTTCCAAGTAGAAGGGGCGCGGGGAGGAGAAAGTGTTTGCGGCGCTCTAGCCCGCGAGCTTGCTGAGCTCTCTCATGTGGGGCTTCTGATTGGCTGCGGCCCACTTCCGGGACAGAGGCGGCACTAGAACGGGCATGACTTCCGGCGCGAAGCGCAGTCGTCGCACTTATCCGGCCCAATGGCGACTCCAGTGCTTCACACGCGGTTTCCAGGAGATGCGGCCGCTTCGGCCTCTGCGGTCCAGACGCTGGGTGCGTCGAGGACTGGGTAAGAGTCCAGGCCGCTTCTTACGACTGGTACCAAAGCCCAGGGTCGGGATTAGGAGAGCGGATCTGAAAGGGCCTGGGACAGAGCTAATGGAGTGGAGTGGGAGCAGAGAGTATAGGGTCATCTTAGGTTCTGAAGAGTACGCCCATAGCCCTTAAATGGATGCTAAAGGTGGGAGAAGGTCTGGAAAAATGAATCTGTTCCAGAGTCCCCTTTTTTCCTCACTGGGCTCCTTCGTAGCGTCCCAGGCCTGGGAACTGCATTCTGCTCCTTTACTCTTCCCTCCCGCTTTTTCATCCAGACTTGGAAAGAGTTCTCTGGGCTATTCGGATTATCAGCCGCATGCTGTCACTGATAGCAAATTGAATCTTAATTGTTTTTGTTTGAAATTTGCTTCGACACACATATTTAACGATCTTTATCTTGCTCAACTTTTAAAGTCCCAACCACCCCCCTCCCCCCGCCATAAAACATTTTGGGGTTTAACTTTGAGAGTCATTAGTGAGATGATATGTTTTTTCACTAATTTGCTCTGTTTAAAAGAAGCAAACTTTGTAAAACATCTAACAATATCATTCGTAATATTTATTAAGCGCCTACCTAATCCGTTAGATACTGGGGACAGTAGTCTGTCAAAAGAGACATCCTTATTGTCAACAGAACTTACAGTCTAGGGAGGGAAGACAGTAAATACACGAACAGGATGATTTCATATAGTGACAACTGCCGTGAAGAAATGAAACAGGATGATGTGAGGAGAGGATGGATATTTCAGATGGGAAAGCCTGTCTGACATTTGAGCTTCAGTTTGGATGAAGACAAGAATCCAACCATGTATATATATATAAATCTGGGGAGAAAGTGTTTTGGATAGAGGGAACAGCAAGTGAAAAGGGAACCAGCTTGGCAAATTTGAAGAACAGAAAAGTCACTATGGCCGCAGTTTAGTAAGTAGTGGAGATGAAGTCAGAGAGGAAGGCAGGGGCCAGGTTCATGAGGACCTGAAGACCACAGTACAGAATTTGGATTTGTATTCAGAGTGAAGTGGGAAACTTTTGGAGATTTTAAGCAGGAGAGTAGAGTAGCATGATCTATTTTAGTTTTTGAAAGATCATTAGATCTCTAAGTGAAGAATGGATTGTTGGGGGATCAGAGTAGGAGCCGGGAGGCCAATTAAGAACTTTAGGAGTTTTCCCACTGAATGATGGTGGTTCAAAAAATGTTGACTCTTAACAATTTTTATCATTCTCTGTCATAACACTTAATAGCTTGGTAATCTTGGTTGTACAGGATTTCCGATATGCTTGCATTAGAGAATGATTTCTTCAACTCTCCCCCAAGAAAAACTGTTCGGTTTGGTGGAACTGTGACAGAAGTTTTGCTGAAGTACAAAAAGGTAAGAGTAGATAACACATGAGGTTTGGTGGTCCCCCTACCCCCAGCTTTATTGAGATATAATTGATATACTGAGGCTTTGTTTTGGTTTGTCAGAATACAATTAAAGCTGTTATACTAAAGATCACTTGTAACAGTATGATGCTGTTAATTCAAAATTAGAGTAAGCTCTTTGCTGAGGTTTCACCTTTTCAGCTGCTTTATTTACATGGTATCTTTAAAAAACTTCAAGTGCTAAAGTGAAAAAACATTAGATCACAGCATTTTAGTTTTTAAGGGATTACTTAAGCATTAATTAATTTAAGTTTATTGGGGTAACATTGGTTAATACAATTATATAATTTTCTGGTGTACATTATCATTTGACATCTGTATATTCTATTGTGTGTTTACCACCCGAAGTCCAGTTTTCTTTAGCTACCATATATTTGATCCTCTTTACCCACTTCACCCTCACCTTACTCCCCTAGATTTGACTCCCTTTACCCCATCTACCTCCCTCCTCCTCCCCCACCCCACTACTAACCACTACTCTATAGTCCTCTGGTAACCACTAGTCTATATAGTCCATGTCCATGAGTCTCTGTTTATTTGTCTTGCTCATTTGTTGTTAAGCATTACTTTAAAACAGCTCTGTTAATAGGGACATTTTGGTTTGTTTTTGTGTTAGTTTAGTGATTCTGCTAAATCTCAGCAATGGAGGGAAAATATGACATTTTTTAAAAAAATTGAAGTAAAATTGATATATAATGGCTATCCATTTTATATGTCATATGCATTTTTATCCATACATGTGAGTGGATAGTATCTTAGAGTATCATCTATCATATTCAAATGTCAGTACACAAGTATACCTAAATATATAAATGGCTTTTGAACTTTTTTTTTTTTTCCTAAGCCCACTAGCTCCACTAACATGAGTTTTTAAATATTTCAGTCATGATTTTATAATCCACAATTGATGTGTGGAAGTTACAGTGTTCCTTTTATAATTTCATCAGATGTTAAGGTATGGTTAAAAGTCTTGCTGTTGATCTGTAACAGGAAGCCAAAGCAAGTAAAACTTCATTCCCCCCCTCCTCTTTCTTGTTAAGGGTGAAACAAATGATTATGAGTTGTTGAAGAACCAGCTGTCAGATCCAGACATAAAGGTAATTAATTTTGTGTTTGATCATTAGCAAAGCTGTTGCCACTTTGAACAGATATTAATTTGCACTTTTGTTTGGTCCTCTTCCATCCTTTAGAACCTTCTCTCTCTGTTATCCCATCTTACTTTAATCCAGTGGTTCTCAAGTGGAGCAGTTTTGCCCTTTTATTTGGTGTTAAGCTGGAGACATTTTTGATTGTTAGAACGGGAGGAAAGGAGGAGTGCTACTGACATGTAACAAGTGGATGACAGGGGCGCTGTTAAACATTCTAAAATGCACAGGGCAGCCCTCCACAACAGCATTACCAGGTCCAAGATATCAGTAGTCCCAAGATTGAGAAACCCTGCTTTAATCTTTCCTTTGTAATACCTCTTTTTCTCTATGCTGCAGGCAACTCTCATGTCTCTCCAATGCTAAGACAAAATAAAACAACAAAAGGTATCTTATCTCTCAAGGGACTACTCCTTCAGTGTTTGAGAGTTCAAGATATAGTGTATACCTGTCAAATAGTAACAACTTAATACAGTTTGATTCCCTTTTCTTCCTTTATTGCCCAATTTTGGACAGAATAGTCCATTACCATGGCAGTGGTAATCAGATTGCCTGGGATAAAAATCCCAACTCTACTGTTAACCTTGTATATGATCTTGGGCAAGTTGTTTAACCTGTCTGCCTCTGTTTTCTCTTTGTAAAACTAAAAAAGCAATAAGTTTTTTTTAAACATGGAGATTTTAATAGGATCTAGTGAGTTCATAGATGAGAAGCACATAGAACAGCCCCTCGCTTGAAGTAAGAGCTTTGTAATTGCTAGATGTTGTTCCTGCTCACGGTCTGCACTGCCTCCTTTCCCTTTTATGGTTAAGTCCACTGCTATAATTACTAGGAGAAAATTAACAATGATTTCTTACATGCTGATTCCAAGGGGCTTTTTTTTCAAGCCTCATACTTATTCTTTGTAGCAGTTGACACTATTGACCACCCATTTATTGAAACCTTTAGTTTCTCTGATTTTCCTGTCTTCCTACCACTTATCTCTAATCATTCTGACAGGTTCTTCTTACTTTTGGTGTTTATTGGGCTACTGAGCTAGACACCTTTCTCACTCTACAGATTCTTCTCGCATGATGTCCTTTATACCCTCGTAGCTTTGAAATCTACCTATGTCCTGATAACTCCCAAATTTGTATTTATAGCTCAGATTGCTCTTGTGGGCTCCAGACATTTCTTAACTGCCAGCCCACAAGTGTTAAGTGTTACGGGTGCCTAAACTTAACGTTCTCTCTCTCCCCCACACCTACTCCTCCTGCAGCCTTCTGTATGTGCTTAACTGATTTATTGCTTACCTGGTTCTTGAGCTAGGAACCTTGGAGTCTTTCTGAACTTCCTCATCCCTCATATCCATTGATTTACCAAGTCCTTTGTGGGGTGGGGCTCTTTCAAGCTTTGATTTGCGGGTGTTCATTGTCTGGATTCTTCCAGTAACCTCTTTAGTGGTTTCAAAGTTCCAGTACAAGTACGTACACACACACACACACTCTCTCTCTCTCTCTCT